CCATCGTTAGGTTTCGTGTAATTGAATAGTAAAAAATATTACTTGTTATCGCTAAACCAAAAATATAGTGCATTTATTGCGTTGACGTTTTAAGTATTTTATATTCTCGAGCTTTGACCCTGCGACGCTGTTTTCACTAGATAATTCAAAGGTACCTATAAGTACCTATACTATATTTATCTTAAAGGTATGTTTGAAAATAATCATTGTGTTTTGTGTGCCTGTCGATTAACAACATTTTTCTTGTATTTTTGTGTCTTCTACAGAGTTCTTCGATTTGTAAACAACAACAGTCTTTCTTAAGACTATAGATCATATTCGCGGTAGATAAAGGTATCTTAATAGAACACAGATAAATATTTATTAGAACCTTACAATTAAACATTTTTCGAAGGTTCCTGTTTTTTAACACTTTGAAATGTGGAGACCGTGGAATGAAGCAGTTCTTCCGTGTTAAAAGAAGACATGGAAGCCAACGGACAATTTAGAAGACGAACTACCTCAGCAAATAAAAAAGACGGAGCAATTTGTCTTCGGATGCTACACAAATTGTTTTGAATGTTTATAATTTTATAAGAAATTCAGAACGGGAAGTAGGAAGGGCTTCGATTTTGGAGTAATAAATAGTAGGCAAAGTTAATCACCGGCTCGGTTGTAGCAGCACTATATTTCTGGTCTCAGTATAACAAGCTCCACCCCAAACACCAAGCCCTGCGTTACTCACGACGATGTGACATCATTTTGCTTGAGAAAAACGACTAATTTTCATTGTCGTTGAAATTAAGATTAGATTAACCATTTGTTAGTTATTCTTTTTAACAAAACGTCGACACTATTGTAAGGATATCGCAAGGAGCGTAAAACATTCTTCAAACAAACTTGAACCGCTTTTTTTGTGTCTTATCTTTTGTTATTGCAAATTTGGGTGAGCGTCTAGAGTTTTTTTTTTGAATTTTTTTAAGCATTACGTGATTTTTTACGATGAAAACTAACTTGTGTTCGGAAATTGAGTTCGGAAACTTTGAAATCGTAATATTTTTCGAATTACAGTTTATCAAAATTCATTTTTTTAAATTTTAGTTTTAACACGGTGGACTGAATTTTCAACGGAGAGGACACTTCACCTAGAACTTTTTTTTTATTTTCCCTGTATTTTATTTATTTAGATTGCCTTAAGCAGAATCACAAATCCTCAAAAATTGTTACTCTTGTTTTAAGTCGATAAGTGTTATCGTTTAGAGTCTCATTTAAAAAGAAAAAATCATTCTTCCAGATAGCAAAGAATGAGCCTTATATAGTCGCTAAGAAGGAAGGAAAGGGGAAAAGGTCATAATCAACAGTATAATTTCAATGGCTCTATTCAACTATCGACTACGAATTCCACCTTTGAGAGATTCTCTTTTCTTCATGTTTCCGAACTCAATTTCCGAACACCCTGTATAGCTTAATGACTCAACTCAGCTATCGACTCCAGCCTTGGTACATGGCTCTAAGAAGTTCTGTATAGTTAACAGGCGTGCTTAGTATTCATAGAAACAGCAATTTAGTTTATCCAATTGTTATAGGGGGCAGCTATTAGTTTCACATTCCACATCGTCAAACTTTTTTCATCCAATTTAGATCGGAAACCCCTCTTGCTTTTGAATTATCCGACAATATCAATTGAAAAGGAAAGTAAGTTCTGTCTTATTAATATATAAGGTTGTTCGGAAAGTCATTTCGTTTTTTCCCGTCAGAGGACTTAATTACGTTTTTTCGAAACCAACTTCACACTTAAGCCGCATAACCATTATATGTCTTGAGAGCTGATATTGCAAGGCTTGTGTGTGAAAAAGGTCTATTAATTCTACGCAGTAGTTTTTGGTTGGTGCCCTTTTAAATATGGAGAGCAATAAGCAGCATTTTCGTCATATTTTACTTTTTTACTTCAGAAAAGGTAAAAATGCTGTCCAAGCGAGAAAAAAAATTGACGGATGTGTATGGAGAAGGCGTGTTGACAGTACGCCAGTGCCAGAACTGGTTTGCAAAATTTCGATCCGGCAATTTTGATGTCGAAGATGCACCACGGTCTGGAAGGCCGGTCGAAGCTGACAAAGATGCGATAAAGGCATTAGTTGATGCAAATCGGCGAATAACCACACGAGAGATCGGTGAGAGATTAAATTTGTCGAATTCGACTGTTTATGGCCATTTGAAAGGCATGGGCTTAACCTCGAAGCTCGATGTGTGGGTGCCCCATGTCCTTACGGAGCAAAATTTGTGTCGTCGCGTTGACGTGTGTGATTCGCTCCTCAAACGTCAAGAAAATGATCCATTTTTGAAGCGGATTATTACTGGGGACGAAAAATGGGTTGTATACAACAATGTTAAACGCAAGAGGTCATGGAGCAGAAAAGATGAACCGGCTCAAAGCGTGTCAAAAGCCAACATTCACCAAAAAAAGGTGATGCTCTCCGTTTGGTGGGATGTCAAAGGAATCGTTTTTTTTTAGCTTTTGCCGGACAATACAACGATTAATTCAGAAGTCTATTGTCATCAACTGGACAAATTGAATGATTCACTTAAAGAGAAGAGGCCCGAATTAATCAACAGGAAGGGTGTAGTGTTCCACCAGGACAATGTGAGACCTCACACAAGTTTGGTCACTCGCCAAAAACTTTTACGGCTTGAATGGGACGTACTGCAACATCCACCATATTCTCCAGATCTGGCGCCTTCCGACTACTATTTGGTCCGGTCCCTGCAAAATTTTTTGGATGGCAAAACCTTTACCTCAAATGAAGATGTCAAAAACCACCTGAACCAGTTTTTTGCCGGCAAGGACCAAAACTTTTATGAGAGGGGAATTATGTTACTGCCAGAAAGATGGCAAAACGTGTTGGACCAGAATGGCCAATATATAATTTAATAAAATATTTATTCATTATACGAAAACTGTCTTTCATGTTCCCCAAAAAAAACGAAATGACTTTCCGAACAACCCAATATTAACAGATCAGGTCTTCATGTTAAAGCAAATTTTAATAATGCTGTTTGTAGATTTCAAAGTGTGAAGAGAGAAAAATTAATAGAAGCCCTAAACAACCTTAAGATACCACCAAAGCTATCGAAAATAATAAAACCAACATTCCAAAAAGCAGATACTGCAGTAAAAGTGTGAGTATAAGGGTAGACAAAGTAAAACCTTTAAGACAAGGGGACCCACTATCAACAGCCTTGTCCAATTTGACGCTGGAGGAAATAAAAAGACAGACAAGGCACATTGTTCAATAAAAGCCACCAATGCCTAGCATATGCGGATGATGTGGTACTGTTGGCAAGAAGTAGGACGGAAATACCACCAAACAACTTATAAAAACGGCAGAAACTTTTGGGCCAGAATTTAACCAAATTTCTGGAGCTCGAGAATGATACAGGGTGCTAAAGCAAACGAAACTTACAAGTACTAATAACCAACATATATATATATATATATATATATATATATATATATATATATATATATATATATATATATATATATATATATATATATATATACATATACATATATATATATATATATATATATATATATATATATATATATATATATATATATATATATATATATATATATATATATATATATATATATATATATAGTATGCTTTTGTTGAATATAGTTGACAGAAGAACCACTCAATGAATCTTAATATTTGTAAGAGAAAAAAATACGATAATAAGAATATTAACGCTCACTGGAAGCTTAGTAATATTAGTGATATAAATTATTTTTGCAATTTCGTTTGAACTTTACAACAGTTCCAGAGTATTAGTACAATTCTCATAGTAAATAGTAATAGTAAATAATTTTCAAAATACATGTTTGCAACCTAATTTTATAAAAAAAAATAATAAAAATGCGATAATAGATGTTGGTATATACTTCAGGCCACATACTTCAAAAAAGTCGTCCTATTTGAACTCGGTACAAAAAAAGAAAAGGAATAGAAAATAAGCAAGCTAAGCGTTTTAATTTATCGCATATAATGGTCCATTAAAATAGCTAATTAGTTACCGTTTACTGCCGCAAATTACATTTAAGAAAAAGAAAACAATAATTATAAAATCGCATTTTCTCCGCAGTAAAAATAGCGATAATCAACTTGACACCTGGCCGCTCTTAGGAAAGCGATAGTGCAATGGCCCGCAGAAAGATTGAAATAGGCTAAATAGTTGGTTCGGAAGCACTAATAAATAAATAAATAATAATAAAAAATAATTAAAGCAAAAATAAATAAAATAGCAATAGAACTTTCTACTGTTGCTTAAATATCAACACGGTATGGAGATTTTAACTTAATATTTTTTTTATAAGAGCAAAGTATTTTTCTGATAAAAGTACGCATAGCATTATTTTTGAGTTTCTGCGACAGAGTGAGCTGGGAAAAATAAAAATGTTTTTTTTTTTTAAGATAAAAAGTGCAATGAATCAAAATATTGTGTTAAAGTTTAAAGTTTGTTTATTATTCGTTAATGTCAAAAATAAAAAAATTATAGATGAGACTAGAAGAAAGGGACCATTCATAAATATCTTGGAAATCAAATTTACACATTTTTAAATGGAACATCCTGTATGTTATGGCATTAATTTACACTTATTTTGTACTCACTCACCCAATGTAGGATTGTAATCGTCTATACTGATTTGGCCATTTTTTCGCCCAAAATGCCCCGTGTTTAATACCCTACATTTTTGACGCTATTTCCAACTGCTGTAATTTTGCCAACAATTTTATAGAGGGGTAGTGGTGGTTCGTTCAAATCGTTTATACAGGGTGAGTAAAAAAAATCATGAACTTCTGGCCATAGCGGTAGTAAAAGGATCCTACACCAAAATGACCACACTGTAGACTGTAGTATTATTAGCAAGGCCTCTACGTCGCTCCCAGCTCTACGCCTTGTACAAATAAATAATTAAAACAAATGCGACATAATTATAAGATTTTTTGTTTTAGGTAATACACCAAGCGGCAATTCACTGCACCACCATCGAACCACGGTTACCAACGCACCATCAAAATGATCCAGAACTCGTACAAGGCGATGTACCGCCCAAACTTCTACGAGAGCACTTGTCTCCGATGCAACGAGACCGTCTATCAAGTGGACAGGGTCGGACCTCTCAAAGACTTTACGTTCTTTCACAGTGGTTGTTTCAAGTGCGCCGTCTGCGGTACCAAATTGACCCTAAAGACCTATTACAACAATCAGTTGCGACAGGAAGACAAGGAAGTGTATTGTAGCGGTCACGTGCCGAAAATCGGTCCAGGACACTTAGACAATTCTTCGGTCGGGATAAGGAGTGCGCTCAATGTGCCCAAGTCGACCAGTTTCGTCAACGAACAAATCCGGGTACCCGGAAGGAGTAGCTTCGACGGAGAAGGTAAGACGACGGAATATGGGTTATTATGCGCTAAGGCGGTTTCGGTTTTGGAATATTTGAAAATTTATTCATTTCATCGTCTTTCATCGATCTAGCGTGCGAGAAGCGTCACTTTACCACGTTAGTTTCGTTTCCCACGGATCCGAGCCATTTCGGATATTTCCGGAAGCAATCGGATGTTTTCGGAGATTTTACAGCGCGGTTTGAATTTTGACGTTTGTCAATTCTGACGGTCATGTCAGTGAATGTATTCGTGTTGTTTTGAAAAAAATGTACCAAAAAAACTAATACACAGAAAAATTTTATGCAATATATCAGACAATTTAAATACTACGTGCTATACGCCACAATTAAAATCTAGTGGACTAGTCGGTAAGTAAAATTACATTTATAATTTAAGTTTCCTACAGAAATTTTACATACCGTCCTCATGAACTTTAGTCGTTTTTACGGGTTTTATATTAATATTGCAAAATTGAAGGTTGGGGCCTGAACGGAATTTTTTCGGAAATTCTTTTAGACCAGAGTGGTATACTAAATTAATATAAATAATTAAACTCACTTACACAATTCATAGAGTACAATTGCAATACGAATTAGCCTTCCATATTATTTCTCTTACTTCAAGGTCGTATTATTTGAATTTCAGATTTTAATAGCAGTGAGGATACTTTACCTCTCCATGTAATATTGTGTCTGGCGATTTTAAATGGTTATACTAACCGAAATTAACATTTTAACGTTTTTTACACAATAATTCTCTATATCAAAAAAATCTTCAAAAATGTAACGACAAAGTGTATTTGTGTAAATAAATAAAGTAAAATAAATACTTATTTCAATTATTATTAATCGATAGATATAAAATTTTATTAAAATAATGGCGAATATCCATGATATACAGAGATGAGACTTTTAAGTAAACATTATGAGGGTAAGATGATATTGGCATTTTGCAGACTAAAATGACCACGCTGTATGTACAGTTACTTTTCATAACAGATACCAACAACATTTGATTATGTATGTGACTGAAAAAAGTGCCACAATAAAGTTGTTGCTTGATTCTGAATTTTAAAAAAATACAAAACTTATCGGCAAAATTTTCTACCATTTAACTTTAACGAGCTCATGTAAGTCGAGTTTGCTCTATCTAGTTCGGAAATAGTTTTCTTTTGAGTTAAATTAGATCCATAGGAGAAATAAGACATTTGTTTTCTGACTCTCTCAGTAGTTTTAATTGTAAAGTAAAGAAGACTGTTTTTAATCACACTTGTAACATTGGTAGTTTAGTAATTGTAAGTGTTGTTTCATTATTCGATTGACATGTGTGGGTACTATTTTTCTTATTTTTCGAAGGTTACATTATATCAAAATAAATAAGAACTACAAGTTCAGATTTTCACGAAATTATATATTTTGACATGACAATTATTTCGACAACACCGCGTCTTTATCAAATATCGACACGGTGTTCAATTGTCATGTCAAAATACATAATGAACTTTTAGTTCTTATTTATTTTGATAAACGGATTTTCATCAAGTAAATGCTAAATGTGTCAATACAAATTTTAATTTTAAAGACAGAATTTAAAATAATAACTAAAATTATTAGGACAACGGGCAATTTTCTTCCACCTATGAACTAACCAACGAAAAATTTGAGAATCTATAGATATCTATAAGCTCCCAAAAAATCTTAACCTCGATTCAGGTCAGCAAGTTCGATTCATCAATAACTGACGCAGGAGGAATCCAAAAGTTTTGTGATAGTATAATATGCAACAAGTGCGGTAAACGGCATTTGACTCACGAGTTTATTTGACACGAGCGGAGCGAGGTTTTATTAATAAACGAGTGAGTTAAAAAGTTTACCGGACGTGTTGCATACTATACTTTTTCTACGACCGTTAGTTTTTGGGTACATTTTCGCAAAACAACACGAATACATTCACTGACATGACCGTCAGAATTGACAAACGTCAAAATTCAAAGCGTCGGAAATATCTCCGAAAACATCCGATTGCTCCCGGAAATGTCCGAAGTGGCTCGGATTCATGGGAAACGAAACTGACGTGGTAAAGTGACGCTTCCCGCACCCTAGATTGGTGGGTAATTAGGTATTTTACAGACGGGAGTAGAAAAATACTATTACCGTAGCCCGTGGAAGTTTCTTTAAAAAGTTAACTTAGCTTCTTAAAAGTTAATCGATTGATTAAATATGTCAAATAAAAGACATATTTTTCTATCCCGTCCAAATTAAAGAAAATAATACTTTTTCTAAGAAAATATTGAAAATTCAAATATTTTTGTGATGTACGCTGTGTTCCGATGCTTCGCAAAATGTTATTTCTCAACTTAATTCTGAAAGAGTCTCTAATATTCTTTTATGAAATTGATCTTTGTATTATGTGTTGCTGTATTTGTTTAAAATACTGTAAAAAATAAGAATTAATAATTTTATATTCAATTTTCCATTTTGGATAATGTGATATATATTATCTCCAAATTATTTATTGCATTTAATATGTAATTGGTTAATTGCACCCCAAATTTGTTGTCGTAATGCAAAAACTTCTGTGGGCTTTTTTTTGTATGCAATCTCTTATAAAGTGCCCTGCAAAAAGAAGTCCAGTGGGTTTAAATCCGGGCTCCTAACTGACCAGCTGACGTCACTTTGTCGAACCCATTGTCCAAAATTTATTTATTTATTTATTTAATAAGGAGCGTCAAATTATTTTTTTAAATTTTATTATTTCTTAATAAACCTAAAAATTGGACTGCTGTCAAAATTTGACCTAAAATTCTATCTTTCCACATCCTGAACCACATTTTAACCGATCTTCTAGCTAGCTTCGCACGGAGCTCTAGTAATGCATATTTTCTCGATTACGTAATGTTATTGATGTTGCAAATATCGATTAATGATTAAATTAAAATTAATTCAAATAATAATTATTCATTTATTTGTTTTCCGATAAAGAATTTTTAGAATATTTAACGGTATTTGAAATTACCAGCAATTTCATTAAAAAATATATTAAACCGCTTTGAAAATTAAGCCAAAAAGCTAAGAAATTCAATAAATTTTATTAATATTGCATTGGGAATTGATAAAAATCGTCAATAAATTCGAAACGGTGCATCGCAGGATGTTTACATATATGGTTGGATTCGTCTTTTGATGGGTTATCCGAAAATGCAAATATATACAGGGTGAGCTTATATCTTGATTCGGGTTTAAAGGCCGTCGTCGGTTGGAATTACTTCCTAACGTTTCGCTGGCACAAGTGGCGAGCTTCTTCAGAGTTCCTTCCATCTCCGATGTTGGACGTAGACTGACGATTTCTCCTGCGCAGGTTGTATTTATGCCGATTGGTGGTGGGCGGGGCTTGTTCCGCTTCGGTTGGTCTCGGGATATCGATCGGTACTGCTCGGGCGTTCCTAAGGATCGGGTTCCAGATTTGGTTGAGTCTAAGGGTCTCCTCCTTTCTGTTGAAATTGTGTGGGTGTTTTTGTATCTCAATGGCTTCCCTGACTAGTCTGTTGTGATAGCCGTTGCTAGTAACTTACAGCTCTCAAAGTGTATCCTGTGTTCCCCGCTGCCCAGTGCGTGTTCATCAACTGCAGACTTCTCTGTCTGTCCTAGCCTGCAGCTTGCTTTATGCTCCTTAAGTCTCGTTCCCACTGATCTTTTGGTAGTTCCGATGTAGACCTTTCCGCATAAACACGGAATGCGGTAGACTCCTGCAGCTGAAAGTGAGTCCCTCTTATCCTTCGCTGACCTGATGGTCTGCTGGATCTTCTTTGTAGGCTTAAAGATTGTTTTGATGTCGTGTCTTTTCAATACTCTGCCAATCCTGTCGGTGACACTCGGAATATACGGCATATATGCGTGGGAGGTGGAGGGTCGTTGTTCGGTATCCCGTGATCTTGATGATCTTGAGTTCATTGATCTCTCGATCTCCCTCTTGTTGTAGTCATTTGCCTCGAACGCAGTTTTCAGGTGTTTAAGTTCCATCTGGAGGTTCTCCGGTTCGCAAATCCTTCGGGCTCGTTCTGTCACGGTTCTGATAACCCCATACTTTTGACTTGGGTGATGGTTGGATTGAGCATGCAGGTATCTGTCCGTATGGGTTGGTTTTCTGTAAACTGTGTGGCCCAGCTTGTTACCTCGCTTCCTCACTAGTACGTCCAAGAATGCAAGTTGTTGGTCTTTTTCAGTCTCCATAGTAAACTGGATGCTGCGATGCTGACTGTTGAGATGGTGCAGAAAGTTGTTGAGCTTGTCCATACCATGTTTTCAAATCACGAAGGTGTCATCCACGTACCGGAACCACGTTGCTGGCTTGTACTCTGAGGTCTCGATCGTTTTTCCTCAAAGTGTTACGTAAATAAGTTGGCTATAACCGGGCTTAATGGGCTTCCCATTGCCACTCCGTCCACCTGTTCGTAGAAGTTTCCCTTCCACACAAAATAGCTACTGGTCAGACAGACTTCAAAAAGTTTGCAAATATCGACAGGAAATATCCTGTTCACCAGGTCCAAGCAACTCTTCAGAGGTACTTTGGTAAACAGTGATACAACGTCGAAGCTCACAAGGATGTCGTTTTGTACAATATTGATATCTTGAATCTTGCGCACGAAGTCGGTGGAGTGCGCTAACTATTGGTCTTAACAGGACATCTACTTGGTGTATCTTAGGTAGTCCATAGAGCCTCCGTCCTCACAATGCGCTTCTTGATTTCTTCTGACAATGATGATGACTTGATGAGTCGGTTGGTAAGACGTAGTCTAGCTTGCGTCGAATCCTTTTTCAGGGGTTTGTAGCTTCAGAAGAACGGTTGCGTACCCGTTACCCCCATCCGTGTTCAGGCTACGCAGTGCCAGTCCTTCACTTCTCGTCAGGTTAGTCTGTCTCGATTCGTATCTCTTCGGCATCTTGGAAGTTCCCTCCTTTGGTTAGCACTGTTCTCTCGACCTCCGTGAGTACTCTGT